ATACACCTATTGTCTGCAGACACAGTACCAAGTACCTATGAGTCACTACATGTTTGGAAATAGTATTTCCAGTTTTGGGCACAAATGTTGAAGCAATGTTTTTATCTATCAAATTTATAAAACTTGCAGATGACTTAGTAAAGTTCAGCAGTCCCATTTCCATGTGTAACCTGCGTGTAGCATTTTATTATATAGATGTTTGAAATATCTTTGCATGCAGGTGTCAGCATGTTTTATCAGAACCATTTTTCATTTTGATTCTACAGTGAGATTGAATTCTATCAAGAAGTCTTTAAAAAAAAAAAAACTTTTCCTCCCTTATTCAATAAGTTGTTTTTGTGTTGTAAAAATCCTCTCACCATATCTGGTTCATGCTGTGGCTTATTCCTACTTCGCCTAGTATAACTTTCTTTTTGGCTTTTTCTTGTTTCAGTCCTCTCATTTTTATCTCTTAATTCTATTTCCAAAGCTATTCACTGTATTCAAATCAAAAGATGCCTCTCCTTAAAGTTGTTTTGGTTGTTTAGTGCTTGTTATGTCTGTCATAAATACCTTGCTTTTATCTCTAAAGCTCTCAACAACCTGGACTCATTCTTATTTTTCTGTCATTCTTTCATATCATATCCATCCTTCACACTGTGACTTCTACTGCTGAAGCATTCTCTCTCTTAAATGGCAATTTAATAGTGATTTCCATCATTGTATTATAGTGGTTGCTAACACAAGGGGAGTTCTCAGTCTCTGTACCTCTCAGAGCTTCTCCTGGGGTACAACCTTACACTGTCATGTGGAATTAATTCTTATCATTTTATATAATAATGAAGGATTAAAATATAAGTTATACCCTGCTGGATCAGACCCCTGGCCCATCTAGCTCCAGCAGTCTGTTTTCACAGTGGCCGACTACCTGCACAAGTCTGGCAACAGATGGCCTTCAGAGTCAGTCGCCCTGCCATCAAGGCTAATAGCCATTCATCCTCTTGATTAATGGTCTTTTCTGCCCTATATATGCATTGTATACATTCATCTAACTGAATTCTAGCAGTACAGTGGTACCTCTAGTTACGAACTTAATCCGTTCTGTGACTCTGGTTGCAACTCGAGTTGGTCTCAAGTCGAGGTAAAGTTTCCCATAAGGTTTAATGTAAATACAGTTAATCCGTTCCGCCCTCTGAATTTGGTCGCACCCTGAGGTAAATTTCCCCCATAAGGTTCAATGTAAATACGGCTAAACAGTTCTGAAACATATGCATTTTATTTTTAAACCTCAAAAACCTTCCAAATGCCACAAAAACCTTCCAAACGCCACAAAACACACCACAACCCTCACTGACCGTCTCCTTGCTACCGCGATCTCGCCCACAGGAAGCCGCGACCGCGTGGCAGCAGGGCAAATGGCTGCGGAGGCGAGTTCGTAAGTAGAGGTAAATTTTTGGGGCCGGAGCTGGTCGTATCTCGAAAACTTCATAAGTAGGGGCGTTCGTAAGTAGAGGTACCACTGTATATGCTCACTTCAGGGAAAAGCAACTTTGGGTCAGAATGTTGTAAAATGGAAAAGCCGCAGAAGGGGCTCACCCCAGCTATTTTTTCAATGTAGAAAATAATTTCCATTCTCAAAGCAAGTTTTTCTTCCTATAATATTCCAGCCCTCATAGAGGAAAAGATGCTTTAAATCCATTTTATATGGATAAGTAAAAAATCATTTATGCCTTATCTGTTTTTACAAGCCCCTTCTAAGCATATGTTTCTAGCTGCATATGTATGGAAATAGTTAATATGGATTAATTTGTAGGGGAAAATATTCTATGTGTACCAACTCTTGCAAAGGTAAATAAGTGACTTATGTTCACAGTAAGAAGAAGCTACTCTAAGTTCGGCATTTCTTGTTTGTTTATTTGGGGACTCTTCATTTTTATGATCATCTCTAACCATTTTCCTTAGTGAGTATCTCACCAAGTATGATTGTTATATGTAAAGGTTTTCCAATACACATTTTCTGAATTGTTTTCAGTTTCCAATTGTTACTAAAGATAAAACAAATAATAACAAATAATAATTTATGTTAAAAATAAATACAAAGAGGTTATTGATTTATTGGTTAGAGCATTCTTTAGACTTTTGTTTTATTTATACGCCTGGTCTATATTTCAGTTTCAATATTTCAGCAGGTGTTAAAGACTTCACATTTTTAAAAGTCTAAAACTTTTCTATGCAGATTTTGTAAAGGTTTCTTTTTTTCCTTTCCTTCTTGAAATTGTGATCTTATTTCCTTTCACGCTGGAACTTAATCTACCATCAGGAAATCCTTTTCAGGACACTTTAATTCCCAAATACCCTACTATTATATTTTGCTTTCTTCGCTTTGTCTTCTTTTAACAATCTCAGCCAAGCCTTATTCAGATGCACGTATGTAGTTTTGTGCTTACCAGTAGGTCTGTATTACCTGCATTTACACTTTGTTCTTTTAATCAGAATTTTAAATAATATTTTGTATGAGCTAATTCCATCCATATTAGAATTTGATTCTTAAGTTCCCAAATATAAATTAGTAGTAGAATTTCTGTACCAAGTCTCAAAAGAAAGGATATGTTTTTCATGGTTTTATGTGAGTATGCCAATAAAATATTTTGCTTGGCAATTATTTTGTATGCATGGTTACTGGATAAATTTATCAAGTCACATTATCCCTTAGTGTAACTAGATAGGAATATGTTTTTGAGTTCAAATCACATTCCTGAGATATATGGCAATAACTTTCTTGCAGAGCATATGCTATAATCCTGAACTTGAAAGGAAAGTATATGTCACATTTACGGAAAGTAAGTGCTGGGATAGCAAGGAATAAAGATAAAATGCAATGAGTCTCAGAGCCCAGTGAAGAGATTTCTGACAACTATCTTTGCCAATATATTTCTTAATGTTAGGATTCTTGAGTTCCCATAATAGATTGTGGGTCTGAAGTTTCTTTATTATTTTCTCTTCTTTTTTCACCCTTCCCCCCAAACCAGGTAGTCCTCATCCATTATCTCATTATCTGTTGTTTCACATATGCACAACTGATAATTAAAGACCAAACCTTGATCTAGATAAATGCTTTTGCATATCTGTTGTTTTGGCCTTGTTTTTTGTACAGAATGGTAGACAGGCTTTTGCACATCTGAAAACTATGTTTTTTATGGGTTAGGTCTAGATTGTCTGCATGCCTGTATTTGCTGCTGCTGCTGCTGCTGCTGCTGCTGCTGCTGCTGCTTCTCCTCCTCTTCCTCCTCACTTGGCCATCAATATCATTGGCTTGTGAGCCTTCATGTGGCTGTAGTTGTAGATCTTTTCACTTGGTCATGGTGGAACTTGCCAATTGTGGGGCTCCATATCGCTTCCTCACAGTGCTTTCTTCAGAGTGACTTGCTTGGCTGACAATGGAAAGAATCAACTTGCTCATGCCACATAGCTTATACTGGGTTCTCTGTGCAACTCTGGATGGATGGGCCATTCAGTTGTACCACAGGGCATCAGTATTGTTTGCAGTGCTATTCTCAGCCAACTCTCAATTGTGCCACTGGACCCTAGCTGCCCACTGACCATTTGTGGTGATTGGAGCACTACGCAAGCACTCTGTGGGTAGCAGTAGTGTCCAGTGACATGATCAAGAAGCCTTTCCCCCAAGATAGTGAAAGAATTCAGAGTGGAGAATTAGTATGACCTATGCGTTGTGAATAAGGTGACTTCCTCTGTTATCAGCCAGCTGTTGCAGAAAAACCACATGGAACCTCATAACTGGGCTTAGCCAGAGAGATCCTCTGCAAGGAGCAAATGCAAATATATTAGACAGCCGCAGCAGAAGAAAGAGAGGAAGTGCTTGTGGGAGGAAGAGGAGAATCATAGGTTCTGGAATCTAATCCCCCAATTCCTATAGATTCAATTTTTGTTCTTTAAGATTTCATTATTTGCAGTGTTACATTGGAACAGATGTCCCACAAATAACAAAGGCCAGCTGAATATAAAAGAACTACCTAAGGCTTTATAGAATAATTTTGTTTATTGAATAGAAGATGGTTTTAGTTATCATAATGTTAACATTCTCAAACTCTGGAGCTTATAACAGTGAATTCAGAAATTAATCTATAAAGGTTCTGTGTTAGTAAAAATTAGGTTGATAATTGTTTTCAGTCCATATCAAATGCTTGTTGGAAAAATGCACTCAAAGCTTAACAAAATAGTTTGTGTGTCTCCATTACTTCTAAAGGCCTTATCCATCATAACTGAATAATAATAATTATGTAAACTTAACGCTTGTCTTATGGCCTAGTAATATAATATTAGTTTAATGTTATGCACCAGCATTCTGAATTAACTCAGAATGTTTCATTAACATAACTTTGATCACCTATGCCAGGAACACTTGCCATATGCAGTAGAAATTATAAAGACAAACTTGTAGCAGAGTACAGAAACTGAATATGCAAAGAGAATGAGTAAGAACTATATTTGAATAGTCCATTGGTGTTGGAGTTTAGACGCACAATGTTAACACACAATGACTGGGAAGGGCTGGATTTATTTGTCTCTCAGAAAATAGCACTATAGGCCCATCTCATATAAAACCAGCAACTCACAGCTATAAGATGGTGTGCCCATCTCTATCAACACATTTTTTTACAAAGGTAAACATCAAATCATATTATCTAATTACATATCTGTGCTGTATTTTGTTATTGTGTACAGTATGCTTAGCGTGATTCAAAAACATTTCAAATTTAAACAGCTCTCCACAAAAACAATATATTCAGATTGATCTGTACATTTCATTTTTGTGAAACAAATCTGGCAAAAATATGAGTGAATATCTTAAAACAACTGAACGGCCTTGTAAAGGAGCGTCCTTTAAGCATCTGTCAGATTTTAAAATATTTTAATGTACAAGTTTTTATGCATAATGTTAATATAAGATGAAAGAAAACAAATCTCTAATATATTTTTTTTCTTTTCTTTTTTGTTTGTAGTTGACTTGCCACTGTACTTTCCTCGGGATCAGCCAACTTTGACATTTCAATCGGTCTATCATTTTACTAATAGTGGAGAACTCTATTCGCAAGCCCAGAAAAACTACCCCTATAGTCCACGATGGGATGGCAATGAAATGGCCAAAAGAGCAAAGTAAGTCATATTTGAGTGGGATAGTTGTGATATATGCTGTTTAGACCAAGCTTAGTGATTGTCAGATTTGTTTACATAGACATGATCTGAATTTCATGCTCCTTTTTCCATTCATACCTGGCTCTTTTCACTTCCTGTTCCTTTAAATCCAGATTTCTTCCCATCCTTGAAATCATAAGTCCTTTCCAGCCATCGTCAATAATCCAAAGCACTTTTACCACTCCTTGCTCTCCTCTTGATCCATCTTTCATGTTTGTGAAAAAAGCATTTTATTTCACTCTTTTCACAGTAAAGATCACAGAAAATACAGGGAGAGACTTTTTTCCAAATAGTGGTAAGCAGCTATGGGACCCTTCCTCCCTTTCTTTTTTAATACTAAGTGTAGAGCTAGACAAGCTGCTCATAATCTGTGTTCCTGCTATCTGTATTGCCAAGACAGCAGGACACTAAAGTGAGAAGAAAGTTCTTGCAGAATGAATCAAAACCCTAGCTATTTCACTACTTCTGTCAGGCAGAGTAGAAGATCTCCAAGCTCTCTGCCAAACTGCCATGTTCCCAAAATTTGAGCTGCCTTAATTCATTAAGGAGTGTTTTTACAAGGAGTAAAGCTCTATATCTGAACAGAGAAAAACAACCATATAAGACAATTAAAATGTCATATGAATTTATAATAACAGATTATTGCTAGGAACCTGTCACAAAGAATATGCAGACCAGACAACATGGGAATGACAAGTTAGTACAATAAGGCATGTATTGCAGCAGGGACATAACAATCATTTTGAGAATTGGACTGATAAATAATTATATGCATGCATTCAAAGGATACATACATCTAGATCAAACAGAAATTTTCATTAGTTTGATACTTGGACTGCATCAAAACTTTCTGTAGACTCTTCGCTTCATGAGTATATTTGGGCAGGACAGTTTATAAATTGAATTGCTACATCTTACTTCCAATGGAATATTATATACATTCCTACATCTAAGAGAACTTACTTTTTTTCTTATTCTTAAAAAGCTGGCATTGTAGCAATTAACTGTGAGCTGCTATATAGCTGTCAAGGTACCTATAAAATCCTGAGTTGTTCCAGACAAAGCGCTCTTCATTTGTTATGTATGTTGAAGTTCTGAAAGACTTGGGAGTTTTCAACAACCATCTCACTGGCTCAGATTAGCAAATAATGGTTTCTTCTTTTTTTGTGTGCCCAAACCTATAGTGCAGTTATGCGTCTGTACTTATTAACCTTGTTATACCATCATTCAACAAATCTATTGTTCCTAACATTATTGCTAAGCAACTGTTTGCTTCACTTCACATCAAGGGTCCAAGTGCTTTGTTAAATGACTTCAAAAACCTGGGAAAATGAAACAAAATAAGGCAACAAATCAAGGACATAAATATCAGCAGGATGGAAGAATGTGTAAAGGTGCTTTACATAAAATCATCAAACTGCAGAAGTGTTGAAAGAACAATAAATTAGAGATTGCTGAGCTACATAAATAAGTCAGTATAGCACGTAAGACTTTAAAGTGGCAAACTTGAAATGACTTAGGGAGAAAAAGAAAAAGCAGTTGGCGAAACAGAACGAAGGCAAGTGACTCATGAAAATAAGTGTTGTGGTTTTAGAGTAATAAAATGGCAGTTAAAGTACTGAAATATGTGAAAGTTTTATCATTCTCTAATAGTAATAGCAGAGATCTAATTGGAGCTGGAAGCTCTAATTAATTGATTATTTACTTATAAAATATTAGATTGATAATAAAATCAATGAACTAGAAAATGTCCTTGATGATTTCCCAAGAAAATATGTATAACCCCTTTCCTGGACCAGGGGCACTGTTCACAATCACTCGTGCCTTGATCACCTCCTGAATGGACAGTACTCTAACATGCTTCACATGGGATTGCCCTTGATGCGCTCATGTTACATCTCTGCTCCATGAGCTACATTGGTTGCCAGTGTGCTTCTGGGTACAATTCAAAGTGTCAAAGCTTGATTGTTTGCTTGCAAGAGAGCACCAAGGACTTCACAATTCAAGGTGTGCTTGCCACCTATTAAAGGCCTTTGTGATTTGGGCTGGGTTATTTTCAGGACCACCTCTCCCCAGTTGTTTCTGTCCATCCCATTTGGTCTGGCAGGAAAGGCATGCTAAGATTATGTAATGCCACCTTTCCAGATTCAGAAAATGTGCTCTTTTGGTTCCAGTGCCTACCTTTGGAACACTGTTCCCCCCAAGATTAGGGTAGCCCCAAACCTGCCAAGTTTTCACAAAACCTGGATATGTTTCCAGGTGTGGAGTTCAGGCTATTAGCTGGAACCCATGAAGTTGTAATCTGAGTTTCTGTTACATACAGTACATTTATGTTTTAAGTTGTTGAGATTTATATTTTGATTTTAAATGTTGTTAGCCAGCCAGAGTCACTGTGATGAGATGGGCAGTCATATAAATCATAGACAGTCATGTAAATCAAATAAATAAAATACCATAATTCTACAGTAATTAATTTCAGTTTCTTATCAAGTCTAACAGATTAACTTATAAGAGTTCCTGGATAATACAAACTTGAATAAGACAACTGAAAAAAAAATCTACTAGATAATTTGAAATGTAGTTTTGTATTTTTACTTTGAAGGTATAACCAGGTCATCTTCCTACAAAGGTATAGGTCATAGTTGAGCATATAGAGATCTGAAAGCATTTATTATAGTGAATAAAACAATTCTTTTCTGGTGTAAATAGGGATAGATAACAGTCCTAAACTTGCAAATGAGCTTTACTACAGTGGTGCTTACAAGTTTGTGAATCCTTTTGAATTTTCAATATTTCTTCATAAATATGACCTAAAATATCATCTGTTCTCCACACCAGTCCTCAATAAATAAATGAACAAGTATAATGTTTTTTATTCATTTAATTTTATCTTTATCTAATTTTAGGACTTGTGTCCTAAACTTCAAAAGGGTTCACAAACTTTTAAGCACCACTTATAAAAAATATGCGTTGAATATACCATCAAATCTTACATATTGGGCTATAGTTGTGTAACATTATTATATATTTAGCATTGACAGTGCTATTGTACAAAATACACATGCCTCAGATTATACCCTTTCAGAAGGTGAAAGATGCATTATAATGGACTTTTTTTAAAGAAATTGATTCTTCATGAAAAAATTCTTCCAGTTCAGACTTGTTGGCTCTTGATTGTCTTGGTTGGGTGTGTTTTTATTACTTTGCCTTTCTAAGATACTTATATGGGTGTTGCTCAAAATAGCAAGAGAATGGGCTATAAATCAATATTGCTTCTTTTTGTCCTCTTCCACAAAAACTTTGGGAATCAAAGATAGGAAAAATGGTAGGAATTCACTGAAGGGCCTTACAAGTAAATAGTCTCCATTTAAGATCAAGTTCTGTCTTTAAGTATATAAGCTGAAACAGTATTATTGTATAATACTGTATAAGTATTATTGTGTAATTAACTCGAATAATTGTGTATTTAACTGTAATTTTGCTACAGTAGGCTCCACTCTTAACTATGGGTCATCCATAAACCGGGGTTCTTAACCCAGGGACTATCTGTAGTTCATGTAACTATTTCAGTATAACTTGGTTTCTGTGTTGAATATAGCAATGTTCTTGGTCATCCCCTTCCACGTTTTATTAAATTTCAGTTAAGTTCCACAAATAAATCTTTCAATACAGCCATATCCAGAAACTGAAATGTAATGAACAAAGTACTGTACTCATTTACTGGGAAATAGATATCCACAGACAGCAGTTCTTCTGTTTCAAGATAATCAGCGGTAGTAAAAGAGTTGCATGTTAATTAAAAGCACATTGATTCTTGTATGTCAGATTTTCACAGCAGAAACAAATAGCTATTTGAAAACCAGGAGAAGGTGAACAAATGAAAAGTGTCTCTCTTTTTTTAAGAAATACATTGGTGGTGGTGTTATCTGCCAAGAAGGGGTGGAGAATAGGAACAAATGGGGTTTTTAACATTGGGTTAAAAAAGACCTTCCATCCATCCCACCTCCTTACTTACCATGTGTTACATGGAAAGAAACAAACAAGCATGCTTAACAAGCTGTGTGAACGGTTTATCAGTCAGATTCAGAAGGAGGAACCTATTTATTTCTTTTCTGTCTGCCACAGTCATCTAGTAGGAGAAGGCCAAAAATCCCCTCCTTCTCTTTCTCTTATGTAATGAAGAGGCCCTATAAGGTAGACCAGACTAAGAAACAGACACAGTGTAGACATAAAGCTAATTTTATTAGAACAGCTGTAGTAACAGAATCTTGCAAGTATGAATGTGATTCCCTTCCTCACTCTTTTAACTTCATGTGAATTAACTGGGGGTGTGTGGGGAGGCTGTCTGAGGCAGTTTTGTAAACCACTTTCTTGGCCAGAGCTCAGGTCTGTTTCATCTGGTTGTTGCCTTATTGGTAGGTCTTCCCTCTGTCCTTCAAGGCCATCCTCTATACCCACCAGAAAGCAGCTTGCTCAGGTCTTTCTCTCTCTTTCTCTCTCTTTAGAATTGCCATTAGTGATAGTCAAACATCAGAAAAGGAATGTTACCTTCATGTTGACACCATAGAATCTTCTCATTGGCCACTATGGGGAACAGATGGACTAAATGCTGGATTGGTTTGACTTTTAATGGAGTCTATCATGCCTCCTCCTAGGCTGTTAAGGCAAATTTAAACTAATCCATAACAAACAAATTTAGGATTACATCCCACTAACATTGGTGGAAAGCAGGCATAAAGGGAATTGTCTATTTTGTTAGCTGCCCCCTCCTCCTCCTCCTCCTCCTCCTCTCCACCTGAAGAACTGGAGCTGTATTATATTATCTTGGGGGGAGGGGGAGATCTAATAAATAAATAAATAAAAATATTATTTCTGATCTCAGATTTGAATATATTAACCCTTTGTGCTTATATTTTCTTAAAATTTGAATTGCTATCTTTTTGAGGCCAAAATATATTTTA